ATGTGGCTACACGGTTCCCAGAGACGCACTTGGAAGCCTAGAGTTTCAGTTGATGGAAAACTTGAGATCAACAGCAAATTTTCGCAAAATTGTTCCAGAAAGGTTCTACCTAAATTCAAATTACCATTCTTATTTTGTTTTTATAGGCGTGCATTAAATGTGCGAAGTGTTATAATACCAAAGATTCGGGTTTCACCGCTTTACATCTCCATATTTTTCTTATTATATAATTTTACACAGCTAATTAAACAATACATTTTTATAGATTCATGATTAATTATAATTGTACATAATAAGCAATTTAATCGATGAAGTTAATCTCATTTAATAATTTCTTTTACTTAAACTTAAAATTCTTTTTTATTATTGTAGGTAGTTTGCAATGGAAGGACAACATGATTACACAAAACCTCAGCTAAATTGGGGATTTATTTTTTTCTAGTACAGGTCCTTGTTTCTTTATTGATTAAAGATATTTCCACATAAACAGACCATTCTATCTTAGACTACAACATCATTTTGGCAGTGAACCTATCCCTATTGAAGTTTACAAATGGAAGAGTCCAGTTTGGGTGACTAACAGTTATCGGAAATGAGTTTCTTTGATGAGAACTTGTTTGCTAAACATACCTTTCAAAGATCTTTATGTCAAATCATTCTTCATGATGAATTTGTATGTTGTTGTCGACTTTTTATAGAGCATCAATTCAACTAGTTGAAGTAAGGAAGGTAGCAAGATATACCTTATTCAATTAATTGTATTCTACCGTTGGAACTTTGTAAATGAAAAATCAATTAATATGCTTCATTTGAATTAGTGAACTGTGGGAGAATGATGATTATAAATACCAAAAAGGAGAGGTAGCATTTCAAAGGAACTATATTCTAATAGGCGTGTCATTAATGTTGATGTTGCAGTTGAATTAAATGAGTTTGAAAATGAAAAGTGATAATAAACTATTCACAAATAAAAGTTACAGTTGTTGCATAGAATTCGTAGTTTATCTTGTATCCATCTCTTTTAATAGCTTTTGCATATGAAGTTCATTTGAAAATTCAATTATTCATGATTTCATCAAATCAAAAGGACATACATGCAACAAAATCAGCACATAGCTGTGCGTGCAGAGATTTTCTCACGTTGATATTGTGGGTGATGAAATCCCAAGACTAAAAGAACTCAATTGTTCCACTAGCAGCAACAGTTACTACATAGAGTTGGGGTCTAGTTTCACTTTTACATGCAAATTGTTCTCCACTTAAATCGAAGTTTAACTGAATTATACCACGCTTGTTTATTATTTAGTGATAATAAATATAAAGATGGGGATGTTAAATAGGGAAGATCACCCAATAAAATATTGTAAACAAAAAATAAATTATTGTCAGTCCTATGAATGAGTGAATTTTCATTGGTAATGAATATACCTACAAAAAATGCAGAGATAACATTTCAAATTAACTTCATTCTCATAAAGGTATCATTATTTTGGATATTGGGTCTAAAGATGAGAGGTTTGTAAGTGTTATGCCATAGATCCAATCGATTTAGATTGTAAACGCTTTTAATATGTTTAATGCATTTAATTTTGGCAAGATCTATTATTTATTTAAATTAATTTTGTAATAAATAACATTTAATAATAGAATCCGAAGATCCAAGTTTAAGTGATTTGTTAATCACAATGAGTTGTGATTGTGAGATACAAATTACATATGATTAGATCTTGAATAAACTGTGGTCATAAGTAATAACGAGATACGGATATCGTTAATACAGCTAGACAATCGCATGTGGCATTTCTTACTTGTGAAGTAAGTAACTGATCTCACGAGCTAAAGTGTGGTAACACTTAAATGAACACGTGGATCTTTTGTTATAGAACAAAACATTGGAGAGCCGCTAAGAGATTCCACATTGATAACTATCTGAGTATCAGTGGTTAATCTCTAACGTTCGGTAGTGGAATTGGTCCTATAACTTGAGGTCATCATAGTACCTTGTATGAGGACAGTCAAAAATAGCAAATTATCAAGTCACAGTAATATAATCACAGCATGCTTTATACATTATACACAGGATACTTGCAAGAATCATAAAAAGAATATTAAACCGTCATACTTTACTCAAGATAGCCCTCAGATTCCAGTTACAATTGATTCTAGAATTCACAGTTTATTGACTATCTATTCCTTTTATTCATGGGTGATGGGAAAGGTGTAATACCTAGAGCATACGTACGATATATTAGGCATAAATGCAAGTTCTGAGTAATTTAGGGTAGCTCAACAACTTTAGCATTTTCTAGGGACCTTGCAAATATTCTAATAATTGTAAATACGAGTTTTAATGAAATTACAATTTAGTATTTGAATATCTATTGAATTAGTATTGGATAATTTGATATAAAGTGGTTAGATCAAACTTGAAAATTTGCATACATCCACACTAGAACTTTCTATTATTTTAGTTACGATCTTTCTTAGCTCTGAACTTCCATGCATCATAGGATTGTTTGGGATATGTCCAATCTAAAATTTTGATTAACGGTCCTATTAGAATTCTTATTAGTTAATTATCTTAATGATAAGTATTTAAACAGCGTAAAGCCATACACCAATTTAGAGAAATGAGAGAGAAAAAAATATAACATAGTCAGAGAGGGAGAGAAAAGAACAGAGGCAAAAAAAAAAAAAAAAAAAAAAAAAAAAAAAAAAAACTTAAATTCTTCCGTTAGTTGTCCTGAAAAAAGGGAAAATTGGATATTTTGACCAATTTAAACGAGGGCATTTTTAAGATCAGTTCGCAATAATTTTTGGTCCTAAGTAACTCGAGGAAACAACAAATTTAACAATAGGTAGGATTTCTCTAAATGACAGGTGCTTTTTAATATTTTAAGTTGAGTATTTTATGTACTATTATTTAATCCAAATTAAAGAAAGATTTTGTGGGTAATACCATAGTGTATTATTATGTAGATTTATACAGAAATCAGTCATAGAACTAAGTGGAGATTGGGAATGAGTATAACCTAAGTGGGAATGAGACGGTCAAGATTGCATTCCACTAGAAAATTATGTTATGTATGTATTTTGCTTGATTTTATATTAAATTATGAAAATACTAACATTAAATCTATACTTCGTATATTCGTAATCACATTCCATATTTCAAATAATTTTTCAGACGCTTAATTGATCGGAGTTAAAGGTTGAGACTGTTGGCAGAGTCCAGGTCGCTGGATTGAGAATTTTATTTTCTTTTAATATTTAGAATTTAATTTAAAATGATTTTGCAATCACAGTTTTATTTTCAAAACTGATGGTTTTATATTTCATTAGTGGATTGAATTTATTTGACATATTATGAGACAATGAAGTAGCTTATTCTATTCCACAAAGTTCTTCAAATTTTTTTGTATTACAATACGTCAATCAACTTTTATAATGGCTGATAGAGTGTATAAGATTGCATTTGTAATGCTGATTGCTCATGATTATTTGCTAATATACAAGTATATTTGGGATTATTAATGATACTTTTCTATAGTTGTATGATGGACAATCCTAATTGTGGTGTTTACAATTTTACTATAGAAATGAAGCCAAAATATAACAAAGCTCAAGGCCCATGAGATAGGACTCAATTTGAGTAGGCTTGACCCAGCCCAATCAGAAGAAAATAGATTGGAATGAAGGGAGTAAATCAGGGGAAGACGTCTCGGAGATGAAGGAATCCAGAATTGGAAGCGTATCTGCACTGTCTTTAGTATTTTCACCATATCTCCCTTATTCGACGTCATATTGAGCTGATTGAAGTGGCCTAGGAAAGCTAATTTAACGTGCTAAAAATTTTTCTGAAATAGAAATTTTGAAATTTTCTCGTTTTCCAAGCAAAAAATGGCCCGCAATCCAAGGCTGAAAATCTGCAGAATTGATGAGGCGAATTCAGTATGGATTTTTCTTTCCTTGTGAAGATGGCTTGAAAGAGAGGAAGAAAAAGAGTTTATGCATGAAGGAAGAAGGGGGTATTCGACCAAGGAGGCTGGATAGAAAGGATTATTGATTCTCTTCTTCTTTGGCCATCAAGAGGGGGAAGTAACACCAAGAAAACGGAGGAGCAGAATTACTGAGTTTTTCCTTCTTCCAATTCCCTTCCAATTTCTAGATGTTAGATTCTGTTATTAAGCTTTTCTTTAATTTTAGCATGAACTAATTTCTTTAGAGTTTGAGATGTAGCCTAATTATAATTATGTGAATATTCCTTTACTTGAATTAATTGGTATTTGCTCAGATTGTGAGTATTTCAATGGCTAAAAGAATTATTTGAGTAACCTTTGAGACATAGGTTTTGAGGTGTCACAAAAGGTCTTTGAAAGGTATGTTTCGCAAACAAGTCTTTGAAAGATCATTCCTATCACAATTAGTGACACATACTTGACCCTTCCAATTATAAAGTGTGATGACTTTTATTCCAAAGAAATCTAAGTTTACGTAAAAGAAATTATTATATGATATTAACTTCATTAATTAAAAATTTCATCTCGTATATTTGTAATTAATTGTGATTTGTGAATCTACAAAAAATAGTCCTTAGCTTTGCACAAATTATCTGCTTACAAATTATCAGGGCAGAAAAAACGGGAGTTGCAAAACTATGAAACCCGAATACTAACTAGTATTATAATAATTTGCACATTTGATGCACGCCTAATCAATCGAAATTTAGAGAGAGCTCAAAATTTCCATGAACTAAAATTCTAGGTTTCCAAGTGCGTCGCCCTGGTAGTAGTGCGGCCACATTTAATCCCTATGCATTCTCTTCTCTTTACACATTCTTCTAGATCTTCATTCGTCTTGGTAGTTCTCAATCAATTCATACAATCCAATATCCAATAGGAGGTCTTTCTCTTTCTATTGTTTCTTCTTTTGCATTCACTTCCTCAAGCCAGGTTAAAAACACTCCATGAAATATAGCCAACTCCTTGACAGTGAACATATACTTACAACTTTTCCTAACAACTCCAATCGCTTTCCTGTCATGTAAAAATAAATTTCTTTGCCTTCAAAGAAGATTTATATTTTTTCATTGCTAACAGTTATTTTCAATTAGAAAGCATTGAATTCGATACAAACCCTGCATAAAAGAATAGTTTAGATGCTAAATTTTTATTGAAACAAACATATGTTTGACTAGACATATGCTTTTACAGTATAAAAAACAGAGAAGCACATAAAATTTAATTTTAATTATTTTCCACGATTCTACTTTAATTTGTCCAATAATTTGATGACAACCATTAATATTCAAACCCTATTTATATACCTATGGTGTCAAGCAGTCAACTCTTGTATTTTGGAATGCAAGTCATCATGCATTGATAACACTATCTCAAACAATTTACATGATTTTCTCCTTCTCGACATCAAACGACATATAAAATAATATGATTCAACACTAATTCAAACAACTTACATTTATTTCATTTCCTTTTCAGCATTCCAATGGCATAAAAGAGTAATAATATGATTCAACACTAGTTCAACCAATTTATATTAATTCATTTTTGCACTTAAAAATTACAATACTAGTAAATTAAATCATAAATGAATTATATGATTCAGCTCTAATACAAAAAATGTACATTGTTTTTCCTTTTAAACATTAAAATGCCATGAAACTATGAATGAAATAATACGAAAGTGCATTACGAAATATGTATACATAGAGGGATTGTAATTTTCATTAAACCATGCTGTTGTGCATTCAGACTACATATACATGGGGAGGGGGGGGGGTCATAATATTCAAAATAATAAGAATATATGCTTGTCAATATGAACCCCAATTCTATGCCGATTAGATTTTGAAAACAATTGAAATAAATTTTTGTTATTAATTTCCATTGACTTATTTCTGCTACTAGAATAATTGATCTCTTCTAGTGTAATCATTTCTTCACACTTTAGATCAATGCGTGCGTGGTGTGTGCGCATACTAGTAGGTGCAGAATATAGTGTCCTGTAGCCTTTTGATATGTAAACATCTTGCATTATATAATTTTTAGATATACTGTTGCGGAAGCTCTCTCATAAAGGATCTTCAAACGGTAGTTTTTTAAGCTCAGTCCAACGTACCTTTCTCTACCAACAACCAATCCAAACGGCTCCAAACCACAGCCAATTGATTCATCTTGGTTGCTATTCAATATTACCCATGTAGGACAAAAAATGATAATGATTTATCGCCACAAAGTCTAAGAGATGACACCACAAAGGTATACTATGAAAGAACCACCAATTGCACACGTTATACCAGCGTTCTGGACACCTTTTTTCTCACACAAAGGGGGGCAGCCGGGATTCTCTTGTTTCTTCTCTCAAAATCGCACAATCATCATATCAAAATGGCTAGGGTTATAGCCAAATATATACTCTAGGGTTAGGCTTTAAGTTGGGCCATTAAAAGGGTAAACGGGCCAAGATTCAAGCCATCCATGAGGAATACAATTGGGCCGGGTGTAGCTCATGGACTTGGTTATTGGACTTATTTCATTCATCGGCCTATGCCTATGAAATAATATTAACCCACGTTAACATCATAGTCCGGGATTTATTAGGTATCAGAAACCCAACAAATCTCCACCTTGATGCCCAATAAATCTGCAAGCAATCAAAACACACAGTTAACACTTGCATAATCAAGGTAGCCAATAAAATTGGATCACAGACCTTATCTCGTGTTTCCAACTTGAAACACATACCATACCTATTCCATATACTCACTGGGGCTAAGGTCAAAAACACCCAAGTAGAAGCAAATATTTAACAGTAAACAATCAAGAGCAAATACACATGCGATGACGATATACTATAGGATAACACACACAGATCTTTTCAGAAACACGTTCACATAGAATTATAGATTAACACCAAGTCAATCAAACCACGGTCAACCACATATGCAACACATGCATAAAAAACCATAAGAAAAGATTTCACCACACTTATCATATCCCATTCCATGTTGCTCACACCACGAGAACATATATTTCCTCTCATCGCCCACCAAGCTCACTAGACAGATCATTCAACTCATGTCTAACTGGCAAGTCACAATAGATCCTAAGTCCACGGGATAATCCTTTATCTCCACATCACTTATCCCAACCTAAGTAAATAATGGGTCTCCACCTAATAGAAGTGCCTCTCTCACACTCCACCTGATCAGGGTCTCTTTCCAGATAAGGGATCCTAGACATTTGATCACATCCCCACTCGTGATCCAAATGTCACACTCTACATCCCTCGGTAAACCACCATGTACCCTTAGACATCTATACTCCACCTCACCAAAAGACACACAACGCACTACTAATGCATCCTAACCCACTATACATGCATGCAATTACAGCAAGTAATCCTAATGTCTCAAATTCATGCAAATGCACATATCAAACACATAGAAATGTAGCAGATAATCACGCAACAAATTTTAGACAATCACACACATGCAGAAAGTATCACACACAGATGCATATGCAGTAACTAGGTTTACACTTAATAAACCTCACTGGGGTCATAACTCGACCCCTCAACCAAATTCGTCTCAGCTCTCATCTTTCCCTTCAGCTTATCTTTCTTCTTGGGACAGTCCTTAATAAAGTGTCTAGACTTATCACAACTGTAACACCTTTTACCACTAGACTTGTCTCATCCCTTGCCCTTCTTCTTACTACCCTCATCACTCGAGTTACTACTCGAATCACTACCGTCTTGAGTTCTACCCAAATTCATTTGCTTAAACTTCATCCTACTCCTCATCATATGTAACTCACCACTCCTCTTATCCTCTTTTTCAGCCTTAATCTCCATCTCCTTACTCTTAAGTGAGTCTATGACAATCTCGGGTGTTAAGGTATCCCTGCCATACTTAGTTGCATTCTTAACTTCCCTATATGAATCGGGCATGGAATTAAGCAAGATAATAGCCTTATACGTTTCAGATACCTCTTCATCACAGTTAACGATGTCTTGAACTAATTTGTTAAAGACATCCAGATTATCATCAAAATCCTTTGAAGAATCCATTTTAAAGTTGAAAAATCGTTCAAGCAAGTACAATTTATTAGGAGTTGACTTAAGCAAATATAAGTCCTCCAACTTTTCCCAAAGTTATTTTGTAGAATTCAGTTTTCCTCCTTTTCTCAAAACAGTATCAGACAGGTGTAAAATAATTGAAATGTATGCAAGTTCATCATACTCTTCTTTTTGTACTTCTGTTAAATTTGCAGGAAATTTGCCATCTATGGCTTTTGAAACTTTTTGTTGGACCAAAATATTCTTTATCTTTTGTTGCCAAATTGAAAAATCTCCTTTCCCATTAAAAATTCCAACTTCAAAGTGTGAAGACATTTTTAAAAAATTAGAACAACCAAAAGCACAAATAGGTCACACAAAGTTATCCTACGGCCGCAATATACAACATTCTAGATTCCCAGGGTTTCGTAAGATTCACGATCTTAGATCAAGGGAATATTTGAACGGGTCAAGTCCAAGTGTTCTAACAAGAAAATCAATGCAACACGAAGCTATGTGAACAAAAGTTCGAATTTCCACGCAACAAGTCTCACACAGTGACTATATGACAGGTAAAGCACAAAATCAACTACCAACTTACAATCAAAACTCAACACTTCAAAAAACAGAGCAAATAATTCCTAAATTTTCTAACACAAGCAATGGTTGCCAAGCAATGACAACCCCCAATCCTAACGATCACCCCACACAATGATCTGCTAATGCTGAAATTTAAACTAAGTTAAGCCAATATACCAGAGCGGACCTATCTGAGTCCTTAAATTATGAGAGTTGCGAATTTATCACTTTAGGACCACCACTATTCGTCCTAAAGTCTCTGAAAATTGCAGCAACCCAAAAAATCACGATCAAATCTCGAACGCCCGAAGAACAACGCTGTCCAAATTTTCTGCGTACCCTGAACCAGAAAACTTTCAACACAAAAAATATCAGAAATAATATAAGGAACAAACTGCCTGAAGGAACCGTCACCTAAAAATGTTCACACGCCGTCACGCGCCACCACACACGCCGCCGTCGCCTGACACGTGCCGACCTGCAGGGTTCGCCTCCTCCTGTACGTCACGCCAGTGGTCTCCGTTTCTCTAAACTCCTTCTGGATTGATCAGAAAATGCGAAAAACGGAGACTGATTTTAACAGTTTTTGGATAGCTTCTTTGATCTGATTTTTGCTACGTTTCTGCCGATTTTCTGGACGATTTCTGGTAGATTTCACAAGCCAAAACCTTCACCTTGAAGCTCTGATACCAATTGTTGCAGAAGCTCTCTCATAAAGGATCTTCAAACGGTAGTTTTTCAGGCTCAGTCCAACGTAACTTTCTCTACCAACAACCAATCCAAACGGCTCCAAACCACAATCAATTGATTCACCTTGGTTGCTATTCAATCTTACCCACGTAGGACAAGAAAGGATGATGATTTATCACCACAAAGGCTAAGAGATGACACCACAAAGGTATACTATGAAAGAACCACCAATTGCACACGTTATACCAGCGTTCTGGACACTTCTGGATACCTTTTTTCTCACACAAAGGCGGGCAGTCGGGATTCTCTTGTTTCTTCTCTCAAAATCACACAATCATCATATCAAAGTGGCTAGGGTTATAGCCAAATATATACCATAGGGTTAGGCTTTAAGTTGGGCCATTAAAAGGGTAAACGGGCCAAGATTCAAGCCATCCATAAGGAATACAATTGGGCCGGGTATAGTTCATGGAGTTGGTTGTTGGACTTATTTCATTCATCAGCCTATGCCTATGAAATAATATTAACCCACGTTAACATCATAGTCCGGGATTTATTGGGCATCAAAAACCCAACATATACCACTTATTGGAAAAAAAATATATGCATGAATAATCTTATATCAATTAGATATAAAAGAACACAAGATATGCTTTGAATTCTTCGCAATGACTCTAGTTCTTATTTGACAAATATTTTGATGATGTCCTGGTGCTCGTAGATGCTATCATCTGTTCTAGGTTCATCTAAACAACCTACTCTATTTACTTGCCAGCAGTTTTCCATTGCTAAGTTGTATTTGCAAATAATTTCTTAATGGCAGATCAAATCATAAAATTGTATTAAGTTTCACGAATTCATGCTTTAATGTATTGAGAATTTTCTAGGTCTCTCATTTTACCTCTTCCAAAGCAGGAAACATAGTCCAGACATTCATTTTAGGTCCAAATGGTCGTTATGGCAAATGGATGGGAGCCAAGAGCTGAGATAAAGGTAAGAAGAATGGACCTTTGTTTCTTAATTTGCTTGATCTTTTCCTTTAATAAAAGTTGCTTCATTATGCAGCCTTTATCTTCAAATAGTTAATTAATATTCTTATAACCAAGTTAAATCTCCAATTGGTTCTGTTGTTATTTTGAATGAAAATTCAAGGCAAGATCTTGCCAATACTAAAGGTGTGTGCACGTGCATGTATTTTTTTTTCGGTTTTTCCATTCTTCATTTTTTTTTTTGAATGGGAGTGTCTATGTTAATTGTTGCTATCTTAGTCTCAAAGAATATGATTATAATGTTGCAGCTAAATTATAGAGTTTTAGTATGGAAAGTTGCATAAATTAAAAACTTTCATTTTGTAGAATATATCTATAGAAACAAGTTCAGGCATAATTATATACAAAGTTAATTGCTTTTAATATTTGAAAATTGTGTCACTATATTTATAACCTGAATCAGATTAGTCAATACGAACCTACGGCAGTAAAAGATGGTATTTCAGTAGTGGTAGACTCAACCATGGAGTGCTTTCTATTTGTGTTTAATGGTAGATGGCTACATCCTACTGAAGGTGAAGAGTGTGATCCTCCACTCAAGAACGAACTGGAGAATGACAATTTAGTTGTATAAATCAGGTTGAAAAATGATAAGTTATCATCAAATAAGTTGGCAAATAAGAATTATAATTGTTGCAAATAATTCTAAGTGTCTTCAGTCTGTCTCTTTTATTTTAAATGTAATTTAATATCATTCATGAATTTAGTTTATTCAGTACATGATGTATCCGGTAAGTGATGTTGTATCTAAAAATCCTTCTGCAAGATATTGTCAAATCAAAAGGTCATAGGACACAAGATTTTCACCTTCTTGTGCGAACTATTTCAGTACACATTTATTTATATGGTTAAGATATTAATATTTGAGTTTCCATCTTAAAAAGTCAACCTTGTTAAAAGGAGTGGCTCAGGACCTTATAAATTGGTCTATGTTTTTCATCTTTATTCGATGTGAAATTACATCCCCTAACATGTCCTCGTAAGATGGTGGCTCGTTTGAGCAGATCAATTTTAAAATTAGACCTTATAAATTGGTTTATGTTTTGTTTCATTTTTATTTGATGTGGTAATATATCCCCTAACATAAGAAACCCATAAACTAGAACTCAATCATTCTAGTAGTAGAAATAAGAATCCCATATACTAGAAGAACTCAATCATTCTAGTAGTAGCAATAAGTCAATGAAAACTCTTAACCAAAATTTATTGCAAAAGTTCAGTCTTTTCAAAAATCTATTCTATATGGAGTTGGGATTCATATTGACTTGCATATCCTTATCGCTTCGAAAATTATGATCCCCATGAATACATATTTTAGAATTTACTATGGCCAGGGTTTAATGAAAAATATGATCCCCTATGTGTACATAGTTAAGAATGTACCGTGTATGGTTATTTCATTTATAGTTTTTTGTAATCGGAATATCGAAAAGGAAAAAAATGAAATGTACATTATCTGAATTAGAGATAAAATGTATTATTCATATATAATTTGACTCTGTTTAAAATTTTTGGAAAAAAAAATTAATATACAGTTTGAATTAATGTTGAATCATATTATTTCTTTTATCTTTTTATGCTATTGGAATGCCAGACACGAAAACAAATAAATGTGAGCTGTTTGAATTAGTGTTGAGTCATATTATTACACTAATTTTTTCATGTTGTCAGAAATGACGAAAAAAGAGAAAAAAAAATTGAAGTAATTTTTTATTTATTATTATTATTATTATTATTATTATTATTATTATTATTATTATTATTATTATTATTTTGAGTTCGTGCCATGGGCGAGTGATAATAATGTACATTCCATGACACGAAAGTTGACTGCTCAACATTGTAGTTATATAAATGGGTCATAATATGAATGGTATTCATCAAAATATTAGTGACATGTACAAAGTAGAACAGTTGCAAAGATTTCAAAGTAAGTTTTATATGCATCTCTATAAATACCATACAAACATATGACTAGTCAAATATACTTTTGTTCCAATAAAAAAAAAGCTTATATATATATATATATATATATCATTTAATGTACAGATTTTTATGATACCACCTAGTCATGTTTCATTGTTTTACATCTCTTTGATTTCTCCCTTGATATGTTGTTCATAGCTAATGATTATTTTTATTGATTCACAAATCAAAATTACTTTTAATTTTTACAGTCAATTGTTAGATTATTTAATACTTTAAATAATTACTGGATCTTTCATGTTAAATCATCGAGAAATATAAGAATTAAAGCGGAAGCATACCTGAATCTGACATGGTTAATGCAATATGAATTTAACAGTATGATCTTCCAAATCTACACGCAGTCTCCTTTTCCTCTCTGTGATGGGATGCAGTAGAGAATGAATAATTCGTTGCGTGTGATCTGGGGACCATAACCTATTTATAAGAGAATGCCCTTTGACCTAATTCGGCCCATCATAGAATTAGGACTTGGGCCCGGTCTCTACACATATTTAAACCCATACTTTAATTGGATACATTAAAGCCCAAAATCGAAACTTTATTAGATCACTTTAATCGGGCTCGATCGAATTCGATAGCCTATAATTTAACACACAATTATTTACACATACAAGCCCATCTTTAATTAAAAATTCTTACAATCTCCCACTTGGGCTATATGTGTCACCTTATAATTGTGCATTAAAATAACCTTATGAGTATTCAGAATTTTGCTATCATTACCGAATGTATCTCCAAACAATCCCGTCCATCAATTATATCAACATAGGATCAAAGCGGCTTTCGCTACTTTCACGTAGCTAAACCCATCAATGGTCACGTATATCAATATAACCGAATGACATGGATCAAGTATGGATGTGTAGCATGGAAATTACATGTAATGTGATCTGTAACATGCCTATTTCCAACTGGTCCACCTTAATACCTTAGTGAAATCATTTTAAACAAGTTCAGAGATAATTAACCAAATAACTTTATATCTGAAAATAACTTTAACTTTAAACCGTATCCAAAATAACAGTACATGTGTCCAATATGAAAAGCAAAAATACAAACTCTCACTGAAACTAGATATCCTCAAGAGACATTACACCCATATGAGCAGTGTGCTCATGAAAGACCTTGGGTATCAATCCCTTAGTAAGCGGATCCGCAACCATGGAGTTTGTCCCAATATACTCTATTGACACCTGTCCACTCTGAACTCTTTCTTTAACAGCAAGGAACTTGATCTCTATGTGTTTTGACTTTGTTGAGCTCCTGTTGTTATTGGAATACAACACTGCTGATTTATTGTCACAAAATATCTTAAGTGGTCTTTCTATATTGTCCACAATACGTAGCCCAGTGACAAAATTACGCAGCCATATTCCATGATTTGATGCCTCATAACACGCTATAAACTCCGCTGCCATGGTGGAAGTAGCTATGAGTGTCTGCTTAGCACTCTTCCATGAAATAGCACCTCCAGCAAGCAGGTAAATATAGCCCGAAGT